ATTTCTGTATATATATATATCGTTTCCTTTCATATAAAACGATAATTATATCGTCATGGTTAAAAAGTAATAATTTGATTGTCCACGACCATCCGATATGCCTTAACATACGTAAGACGATCGAAAATTTTCATCAATTGGGCTGATACCACAAAATGTCTTAAAAAGAACGGACTGAGATACTTTCTTCCCATCGAAATAGTTCAAAAGTGGTATACAATCAGTAGAACACAAATGTTCCCATGATTTCTTTTGAATGAGATCAAACCCACCTGATGACCTATTTTGATCATCATACATATGTCGATGCATGTCGGATAGTCGTAAATGGATGAATCATCATTTTTAGCATGAACGATATAATTATCGATTTATATAAACTAACATGATTTATATGTCATTTTAGTTATGATTTAAATTGAAACGATATCAATGTCGTCAAAATGGTACTGAAACAATAACAATATTGTTATTTATCAAACCCACGGAATATCATAACATTCAAATTGTTTTAGTACAAATATGACCACTTTGAAATCGTTCAAATTTAAATCATCAATATAATGACATAACTATAGTTTCTTTTCATATAAAATGATTATTTTATCATAAATACAACGTCGTATAAAATGATTATTATATCGCATAGGTCGTTGAACGAAGGACGAAAGTTTGGGGACCAAAACGTTAACCCAAAAAAAATTAGTTTGGGGAAAATGACTTGATTGAACAAAGTATGAAAGTTTGGGGACCAAAATGTCAATTTCCTAAACTATAGCTGGCGTGCACCATAACAAGAATTATATTTTAATGTCGTTTTGTTGAAAAAAGTATGAAAGTTTGGGGACCAAAATGTCAACTTTTTTGGTATGACAACTTCAATGTCGTTTTGTTAGTATAGAACGACTTCAATATCGTTATGTGAACAGTACAATTCTTGTACTGGATTGATATCAAAATCGTTTTGTTTGTTTGGAATGATTCGAATGTCGTTATGTGAAGCAGTAAATTTTTGGTACTAGAACGACATATTTAACAAGTATAACAACATTTGTGTCGTTCTAATAAAACCATATAAAAGTTGTTTGTTTGTAGAAAAATAATACGATAACTGTAAGGTGAAAACACAGCCATAATTATATAAAATGACTTCAATGTCGTTCCAATAACATAAAGCAATGACATCATAAAGAAGCAACAAATGATTTATTGATGTTTCAATATCAAGACATTGACAGTACAGTGATTAAAAAATGTAATAAATCATTTTTTGATTCAAATAAGTACAAAATAATAAAGCTACATGTCACAACAATATTTTGCAAATTACGGATTACTACGAGTTGTTTGGCCAATATAAGTGAAACGGGTATATGACCATTATTCTTGCTCTTACTGCATTCACGAGATGTAGGGCTGTCCATGAGTCGGTTCGGTTCGGTTCT